CTTTACTGCTGATGTCTTTGTTATCTTAAAAGTATGAAATGGGGCATCAAGTGTCGATACCGATTTACGACGTGCCGATCGTTTATGAGATCATAAAAGATGGATTCTTTAGGGTCTGCATATTTTTTACTTTCGTTTCATATTTTAAATTTAAGATCAGATATTTTATAATTGTGGCAAAAGATCTATTTGCTTCGCTTCTTTTATTTTACCTATCCCAAAAAAAAAACTGTTTTACAAGAAAATTAAAACAGTCTAAAACCTGCGCACGCGTCTATTCGGGGAACAAATCGCTTCGCAGAATTGGAGCGCCTATCGAAAGATTGACTCACGCATCGGAACGCAATATCCGATCAGTTAAATGTGTTTGCACGCAACATGTATTACTATTTCGTGGTTAACGCTTTAAAACTAACTAAGAAATTTGGCCATTGCCAGATATTTGGGAAGTCCATAATTATATGATCCATGACCTTTCAAAATTGTCGAGACCTTTCACAATTATTTTTACCTTAACGCACTTCAATGTATACCTCTTGATCTCGGTGCTGAACTAACCTATTTTCAAATAATTTTGCTCAAAAATTATAACTCTTCATCAAACTAAGACTATTAAATTCTTCAAAGCAAAGAGTCAGAAGAAGATATCTTAATCTAAAACAAACTGTGACCAAGACGGCTATAACATAAATCCCTGACCATTCTGTGCTGATGTGGTTTACCTTTATAGCGCGTTCGACCATCTGATTCATGCAGGTTGTTTAAACCTAACAACCTAAAGAGTTATGAGAAAAGATACTATTGTGTCTTACAATTTCCTGTGCACATATACACTGTATCTAGAATGGACAATGAAGCAGAATTTAAAGTGTGGTTAGAGATATGACGATCTATTTTGAAACAAAATTGTACTGCTCAAGAGCATCTTAAAGTTCTAAATCCTAAACTGATGACTAAGATTTCATTAGATTGTTTTAAGAGAGGAATTTTAGGGCTTAAATATTTTAAAGACTCGATAAACCCAAGTTTACACAATTTATGAATACATACTACATAAAGCATGCGTACCTTTTCCGGCCACAGCCCAACTTACAACACTACCTACTGTTTACATATTTTTGAGCACCAAAACACGTGGGGGATTACATAAAAGATGTTAGAATGTCATTTTCTTGGTATTATGAGTAAGCAAACATGTTTTGCAAGGTTTATGGCAAGATAGAATATCTACAAGCTATTTTACTAGATACTTTATTGTTAGAAAACATTGAGTCATATAATATGTTAAAAATGTCGTAGTTTCCAAGTAAATTGAAGGTTTTAAGACAAATTGAAAGGCTAAAGACACTATAAACTGGCGCCAGTTTAAACATTAGAAATGAAAGAAGAACGAAAAACGCATTTATTTGGCATCGTGATATCTTTTGGTTGGCTAAATGGTTTATGGTTAAGAATTTCACATCTATCATTAGAATGAAATCGAGAGAATTTGACCAAAAGACCTTTTGAGACAGCGGCCATATAGCAGACGTAAAAAATAATGACAGAGTACATTATAATCTCTGTGCATGGAGCAGATCCACATCAATTTGCGCACTCAGAGGTCTAAGGTCTTGGGTTACAGCAATTGATCATTCTAATGTATCTTTTTGTTTACTTGCACCGGAGTTATCAATCAATTGACGTCAATTGGCAGAAATGAAGGTTATCACTGATGACTGCCGCTCTATCGTCAGTGACGTCTGTCACATTCCTATTAGAAATTATTGCGCGTAATGATTTCGGTACTGATTACAATGTTACTTCTGAAATACTTCTGTCTGTTTCGATACTAATATCGAATTCTAAGTTGTAACATTATTCTAAATTTATAACACACCACACCCGAAACGATTCTAATAAACAGCACAAATTCAATTTTAGTGCAAAATCAAAACAATCGGTGCCTTTTATCGCAAGTTGTGTATGGTTACAAATTCTGAAATGTCTCGGACATAATAGCCTCAATATTTTGACAGTTGAGAACAAACTAATTGGAGCTAAATATCAAGGTTCATTCGTTGAAATTGTGTTAATTTAAATATTATTTCCTTTAAGCTCTACGTAGTTCTAAGTATTGTTAGTAAGTCAAATAACCGAGCTAGACTTATACTAGGCTAATACAAGGTTGAATGCTTTATAAAATCTACATTTAATTTGAAAACAAATTCCAAAACTTGAAGTGGTTAGCCTAAATGGATCATAATTTATTTTACCTTCTCATTCCAATCGCTGTTATGTAAGTCCAACAGCAGATCATGATCAACGCTGGCCCAAAAACTAAAGATTTCGAATTGTAGCGAATATCACGATTCTGGTTGTAAATAAAATCTTTTAAAAATCTGATGCGAAGGTAAAATCACGTATGTTCTCGCTAAACGAATGCAGATTCGTCGTGATAACGGTATTCAGAGTGCGAATGTGGACGTGAGATGTTTGAAGTCCATAACCTAGTATTCGTAGGTAACAGGAAACTATTCGAAATGGCCTTTCATATAATTTTATCATTTTCTCTGATTTCACACAAAAAACTTGAGAAAGTCACAAAAAAATCTTAAATTTAATGTCAGATTGGCATCAAGAAAACTTTATGTAAGTTCAGACAATAATGTGGAATTAATTGGAACACATACCATAGCATTTAACTGCAGTTTCAATGAGACAAAATATAAATTAACCCTGATTTCGCACGAACAAATATTTGTCGTCATAATCCTCAATTAAGGAAGTATATTTTAACCTTAGCTTGTCACTTGAATTGCAGTAAATATTGCAAGACAGACAATTGTTTGTAAAGCCCTTTTATTGTTGTTATTTATGTTTATCTTAGCTTAACAAATTACACTGACCTTCAAGGCAACATTGGCTTTGGCGCTTTTGGATTCATTGTTATCGTCATCACATTGTCTCTTTGCATCGATACCATAACGATATTTTAACAAATATCAACAAACTTTTATACATCACCTTCTATGTTTTGTTATTTTCTTCAGAAAAATATCTTTCAAACTATCTACTATCTAGCTTTCAAACAATATCCAACAATTTCTTTAATCCAACCATCAGAAAATTAAAACTAAACTGCGTCCAACTTCACTTCCTGACTGAACTTTGCTCCATCAAGTCTCGTCTCATTGCGTGCTCAATTCGAAACAATACCGCAACCACTTATCTCTTATCTCAGTATCAGGGCACGATCGCATTCCATCCTTATCTGGCAGAGAAGCCACTAAACGAGTGTTTAATGTGCCTTCGAGCACATTAATTTATAGATAGCCAAGTTTCATTTAATTTCATCACATTTTAATTGCCTGTTTAACCTTTCAATATCTTCTTTGCTATATTTCTTTCAGTTTTATGGAAACGATGCCATTGCTAAGTTAGAGGCATCCTATAGTGTAGAACTTGATTCTTCTGCAGAATTCAACTTAATACGTGAAAGTTGATGGACTTCAGCCAATCTTTTAATTAATGTCTTGTCAATTTATTATTAATGTCAACCTTAATTAATTCTGGTGCAAAACTTTTCTGAATTTGTTTGTTTGCATCTAAGCATTTATCGTGCGTAAACCAATACAACAAACAACGTATAACATTATCTGTGTCGTGTACGTCGCTCTAAAGAGATAAGGCTTCAACCTTTGACAATGGCAATATACATTGTATGTATTGCTAACTATTCACTTGCATAATAGCAAGACTGATATTATCACGTTTCCACTCCAGATAACTATTTAAAATTAACAGTACTTGAACCATTTTGTTTATCCTCTTATTGGAGGAAGCACTCGATTATAAGGACCCTTGAAAGACCACGTTTAAAATTTTGAAAATGTTAAGTGAGACGGAGATAATAGAGTGGTTATAACAGCACAGAATGTCGCGTCGTGGTGGATAAAAGGGTCATGGTGATGCCAAATGACATTTAAATTCATGAACTTGATGATCGTGTACCGCTACACTAAGTCCAAATGACACACAAAACGAGGCTAATTCTGTTTTCTATTCCCACAGACTGTCAATATTGTATTCATGTGCCAGATGCTCCTCCCCCAAGAGTGGGTAGACCATTATTGTATTCAATGTTTCTCTTGTAGTTAACTAGATTTGCGGTTTCTCTCGCACTTCTAATCCAAACACCACAGTGTGACATCCAATTTCCTACAACCTTCCTTAAAAATACAATGAAATGTAAAAATATTTCATATAACTAGACTACAAAGTCACTAACTTAATTAATTCGCTTCCGAAAACAATTAATAGTGAACATCCGTTGAATTTTAATATTCTTATTTCAACGAAATCTACAAATGATCCCAAGGTCTAAAATCGTTTAAACACTTCGAATCAGCATCTCAACAATCTAGTGTTAACGTCACAAATTAATTGAGTTAAAATTAAATCCAATGACATTGCTCCACTGATACGAACGAGTAAAGCGTTTATCGATGGATGTCCGATAAGCAACAGCTGCACTCGATAGACGACGAAGTCAAGTTAAAATTATCGACAACATTGCCTTCGTATCAGCACATTAAAATGAAACTGATCGATTGATGAAGCAAGATAAACCATTAATGCTGAGTGCTTCGAGACATGGAAGGCAAATTGTTGGGAGAAAATGTTGTATTAATTTTTATAGAGGCATGATTAACTTGAAAGCAAAAGATAAATATGAAGTATTCCTAGTCGATTAAATCATTTTAAATAGTTTTGATTAGATAATAAAACATGAGCCACAAGAAACTAGCGGTCAGCTGCAAAATTAAAGTTTAATTCATTCTTCTTTCTCTCTCTCTTCTTTAATTTCTGTTGCTATCACTTTGATATTAAACTGTCAAACACCAAGCGGTCACCGGTGACCGCAACCTATTGTTCTATAATTGTGTCTATAATGACGGTACTCGACGAGTTAAGGACTACTACAGTCTTCTAATAGGCTTTTAAAACGTTGTACTCACCTCGAGAGCCTCCTGTGCAGTATGGAGGTACTCCCTCAGCATCGCTTCTTGAATGCTGAGCCATTCTAATCTCGGGTCTTCTAACTGCGTCACCTCTGTAACAACAAAACAATAACCTTTAAAGATTCCTCTACGCAAATAAACCAATAACAGGCTTATGCATTATTTTATAAGTTTCGTATTCTTTTATAAATATCCATCATCAGCAGTAATACTTTTACTTTACGTTGATAAATCTACTTATTTTCATATCCAACAAGTTAATTATGGATCAAAAACATGATGGAATTTTAAATATAAATCCGTTTTTCACGTACTCGGCTACTTGAGACGAAAAAAGGCGTTCGCAAGCACTATACGAACCAGATTAAGGCTAAAGAATTACTCATCGTCAAACTATGCGATACGGTCGCCGATTACCGATCGATTAATGACGAGACCGAAGTAAGTAGTGTTTGATAATGGTGGCATTCAATAAACACTGATAGCAATCGCCTTAGCAGTCGATAGTGACATTTGGGACGAGGTTCGGCGTGATTGCAATTCACGGTCGATTATCCGAAAAAAACTGATAGGTACCTAAAAATTCAGTAGTTGTGTAAGTATTTGGATAACAATGTTGGTTGATTGTTTGTTTTTACAGGTTCTTGCACTGCTAGTGCTTGCGAATTGTTGGTGGTAACAAACAACCTTTTACATGCATCCTCAGTCCTCACATAATAATACCTTTTATACCTTTTCCTCAAAGGAATAAGGAAGAAACGTAACATGATGAACATAAGATGAATAAGAACGACTAACGTACAATATCTATAACAAGATACTACGCTTACTACATGTATCAAATGAAACGACCTACACTAAGCAAATGATCCACATTTAGTCATATAGCACATAGAGACAGGAACCAATGATAGACCCAGTCATCATCGGGGCAGCTGCATTCCGCCATCATTCGCACACCGCGTGACATCCAAAGTACACACGCGGCGATCTTTCAATTATTATTCTCAATTCTGAACCCGACAAGGCCGGAGCGATTCCACAGACAGATTGTTACTCACTTTATATCAGATTAGAGAAACAATGCCGTCGAAATTGCTACGTAATTTGGCTACTGTTTGTAGTGAAGGTAAAGTAATAGTTAATCAAATAGATAACGGAAACGGTAATGATAAATCTGAACGAATTTAAAATATTAACAACTAAGTCACATTAAGCCTGGTAAACTTCATTGACTTTACAGAGATTTTATTAAACGATATCACATCTTTGCCAAGCTAAAAGACACATAAACTACAACAATTGTTAATAACAAGCAAAACCACTATTAATAGAACCCGACCCTTTGTCTGGAGAGAAAAAACACAGACGAAACGTGTACTGAAAATATAATTACAACACATATTTCATAGACAGAAGGTGTGAACAAAGGAATCAAAGTCACGTCCCACTTAATTATTCATAGAGGTCCTTTCGAAAACCGATAATAAACAATATCAAAGTTAGATAAAACTTGACGGGCCACAAACAGGGGAATGCACGTGATTCTAATTCTTTTGGCGGTAGACATTGACCACACACAACTGAAACGATTAATATTCAAAGACACGAATTAGAGGCAACTATGAATCTATGGGAATGTAGCAACTGCATTGATTATGCGTCGATTTATGCAAAAAGGAAGTGTAGATGCTTGGACAACGCAGCTATGAAAATTTAAACCACAACTGGTAGAAAGAGATATTTGCGGAATGCCACAAGTAAGACATTCCAAAATAATACATAAAAGTAATATTATTTGCAACAAAATGAAGTACCCACTCGGTTCCAATTAACCAAGAAAGCGAATTCAAAGTATCAAATGAAATTCTCAACACAGCGCGGTGTAAAATAAAAGCTGGTATGAAGCGTATAAATATTGCCGGCTTATGCAGAAAATAGGTATGGGGGAGATCGCATACCTTGATAAAGAACATGGATGCTGTAAACTAAATATGTAAAGTGGAGAAGGCATTAACAAAATAACGTATGCATATTTACACAAGTATGCAAAGGCAACTACTAGGTTCAAAGACTTAAATACTAGAAAAATATTAAAATTAATTGCGCCGCTCGCTTTAAACGAGTTCCAACTTAATTACAGCTTGTCCTTTTCTATTGAGAACTGTGATACGATCGTTAATGAGTATGTCAATGTTTTGTTGATCTTGTAAGATTATTTCATTGCCAATTTGTCTATGAATTGGTATGTTCGTTACTTTTTAATTTTATTTCATCTTTAGGTCCCATGCAATTATCTTAGCCGGTTCCGATTATAGATGTTGTTTAAATGCCAATTATTTCTCATTTGCCTTGCTCTTTCATTTGCAATCAATGCTTTACTGTAATTTCGAATTACTTTATTAACTTTGTTTTTGTATTTGATTTTTAATCCTTAGTATAAACATCTAATTTAACGTTCATAAATATGGCTTGCCTGTAAGAATAAATTCGAAGAAGGAATTTGAATTTTCTCTTGCAAGTTCTACACAATCCTTTGAATTTATATTGACTGTAGAAATTATATGGGATCTGAGAGAAGCAAAGTAAAATACATTTGGTTCTAGTAATATAAAGTAAGATGTTAAAAGCATTGTGTGGAGGAATTGAAATGTGGGCATCCTGCATGGATTGAAACAAAAGGAGCCGTATTTCTGAATAACAGAGTACATATTTATAAATTATACGCTACAAGTTTAATGTGAAAAATGCGTACTTAGAGGAGCATGAACGCAGATGAGCCTTTATAATCATTATTACGTTAACGATCAGTGACGTTAGTGAAGTCTGATGAGTAATGTTTAATGGTGTGCGCAAGGCACTCCTCGAGCTTATAAACGACAGGGGAAATATTTGTAATGTCCTCTATTTTCATATCTAATTTGACCGCATTATTTAGCCATTTTACAGCGCCACTTGGACCATAATTCGCTATTATGGGTACGTGCTTAACTGCAGGCAGATATGCGGTACGTGTTACTGTTTAATCAGGAATTTCTTCGCGATCAACATTATTATGCATTTATAAAGAAAGCTTATTACGGTTTTCTTTGGTTTGATATGTTTATTATCGAGTTGCGTTTTATTTTTGCATATCTTCCGATAAGGCTTCCGATCTTGATCAGTGTTTCACTGAATTTTTTTATTTACCAAAACACTTTGTTGTTTAATTGGAAATTTGTCATTTGTTGTTTTCGAAAATATTAAAACAAAATTGTGTCTGTGTTTAAAATAACACTAGTCACACAGGTCACTAGAAGTGCAACGAAACTCAGTAGAATTCTAGATTCCGTGCTTTTAACAAACCGTTTTTAGTACTTATATCTCTTATAAAACTAGATAATTTAAGACGTGTTTAATAATGGAATTTCTAAGCATACAGCTATAAGGTCTTTTCTATTTCTCTCAATGAATGTTAAAATGTAATTGAAGATAATCTTAAAATGATTAATGGAGTAATGTCCAATAAAATACAATGACATAAATAGTTTTAATTATCAATTAACATTGCCTAGAATTTATGCGATGGCGCCTATGCTATGGGTAGGCTATCGACGGATCTACACGCGTAAAACACCATGGCTACCATAAACGAGTTGGGAGTCATTTGCATTTTGTATTGAATATTGCAAATGGACAGTGTAGGGCTACTGTGCAGGAATTTATGAATATACAAAGCATTTTTGAGTTATTCTGCTCTAGTAGATCGTCCTTGTAATTATTTTTTTGCCCGTCCACGTAGGTATTAAATTATATTAACAATAAGTTCAATAAAGTACTTTTCATTGACACAAATGTAATTACGTGTCACGAGGAAAATAAAATTAATATAAATAATAATTCTGCTTAATTGTATGAAAATATCTCTGATTTAGTATTAGCAGGAATTGTTATTATACATAACTACATTTTACCCTACATATTCAGTGTAAGAACTCTCAAACAGTGAGCATATACCGTTGCCATAGCAACCCTGCACAACACGACAGAATAGTAAATGTGACGCATAGCTGCGCCGACGCATGTAGCCGACAACTTATGAGAATAGCACCCCACCGTACAGCACTTTAATAAACATCCAATTTAGTCTCGACATGTTTAAATTAAATTAAAATATCTAAACCGTAATCAGTTTAAGTAATGACATAAGTTACGCGCACAGAAAATGGGTATTTAAATGGCGTATAATTTAAAAAAGTCTTTAGACTATCTTTTGTGATAGGTTCTAATGAAATGAGCAATAATGGACCCTATTTGAATCTTTTTGCATAATTTGTTCTGGATGCGTATGTATAAATTAACTGAAGACAAATATACGAGGCTGTGTAACATTGCCTAGCAAATACTTTTAATGAGCTTCGAGAATTTATTTGCTTGGTTACATATGTTTTGCAGTCGACAACATAAATGGTGGTGCAGTTAAAATAAACTTGAAATTGCCACTGTTCGATGCTTCAATAATTGTGTTTTAAAAACCTTTCATACATGCCAGAAAAATTAGGGAAATGATTCGATCAAAAATCGATTTTAGTTCATTACCACACATTTTTCTTTTTCGAATTCAACTACCTATCTACTATTTATAACTTTAGCAATGACTTCATATAAAAATATCGGCCAAGATTACTAGGAATCTTGCAAAACATCCTTAAAACAAAAAGGCGTGTATTGTCTCGTGCTAAAACGTTACACAATGACCAAATATGGGAATAGTCATGAAAATTTTGAGAATTTTATCGTAAAGTCGTATTAATCTTATCACAATAAACATTGATGATAAGCACCGTCTGAAATCGGGTATAAATAAATAATCATTGTAATTCATACATAGGTATGAATGTATGTAAGAGTACATTCATATTCATTTAATAATAACATTGATAATTTTTTCATAGGTTCATGAAAAGCTAGTCTAGTACGAAGTAGTACTAGAGGTGACGTGCGTGAAAAATTAGATGAAATAACATTTCAAAGTTTATCATGCGAATTAAAACGGTTTTTCTTCAATGGCAGCGACTAGTACTGTAGAAAATGGCTTAGCACACATTTCTTAAGAAATTAACACTGAAAATACATAAAAACTAACAAGCTTCGATCAAAAGGTGATCCGATCGGTTCGCGTTGATGGGTGGTCTCGAAAAAAAGTAAGAAAATGGCGGAAAAGTTCTACGGTCTTTATAAATAATGCATAAGAATGCGTGAGCGTCGTGCGAAAATGTACGTCGCGTCGTGCGTTTGCGCACACCGTTATCGGGTGTTCGCGGGTCGTCAGATATCGCGCGTTTTCCATCTTATAGCGCAGTCATTATTGCCTTTTTACCTTTTATAGCACTTTGCAGATAGGTAACTGGGTATATTGTAGTGTTGGAACTTTTCGACGCTCGCCATAAACCTTGTTAGAAGCTATTTACAAACTGGATTTGAATTGCTTCTTTAGGAACAATTTACCGTTGTATCTATTATGTAATTTGTTTCACAGTTTTAGGAACTAAATTATAAGTTTTGCTGCAATTTCTGTGAACTTTGAGAGTCATATAACTATTAGATGACATTTTTAATACTTGAACTCCGCTTCACCTTCTCATTTCTAAGCTTATTATAGAAATGTATTAAAAATTCAAAACATCACGTTTGTTTTATCTGTATATGAGATTACGCGGTAGCAAAGCAATATCTATGCAACGGCTAATCAATTCAATACGACTCACGAAGATGCATTTGCGTAAATAAACGATACGTAAGCATTCCATTCATAACACGACTTATTTAGTGCTCCGCCATAGAATAATCTAAGGATTCACATAAAAACATATATCTACGAGTCACGACTGCATGGACGTGCATCCGAACGTACGCGCAACGCCATCTATTTTTCGTGGTGTGACGTTAAAACTCTTGCGCATTTCGATTTCAAATATCGAATTCAAGATGGTGGCCGTAACAGCCGCAACATTCTATAGGCTAGACATGAATCAACCTGTTCAATAATTCATAGGGAATAACTAAAGCACCGTGGTCCTTCATAAGCCCCCCGCGTAGTACATTTTTCACCCGACATACTGAATAATCCAGAGGATAATAAATAAGAGTTAGCTTGTTGTAACCGGTACAAACAATTCATTGTGCTAAAATGAATTATTACATTGTTAGTACGGGCCCACTATTTCGCTACTCAGTATGCTAATCTTAATATAGGTAAATTTCTCAGACGAAAACTTCGAAAGACTAGCTACAAATGGGACTGGTTTTCAAGATGTAGTCAATGTCTAAAAATACTTTCTTATTAGTATGCATAACAGTGCCGCTAGCTTCCTAATTCACGAAACTTAGTAAACACATGTACTGGTCGAACGAATAATGAACTATGAAGTTGAATTTATATAGGAATAAAAGTCTAAAGTAAACAAAAGGTGTTACTTACGATTGACATGGTTGATGTAATATCGTCCGATCTGTGGATCGTAAGCCTCCTCCCAACCAAGAGGCAGCTCATTGCCAATGCAGTCCGCGAATGTCTGTGGCTTAGTATATCTGGAACAATAAACGTTTTTTGTTGAGTCTAGGAAACATTTATATGATTTTAGAATTAAGGCTATTTGGGAATTTATTCTCACGATATGTTGAGACAACAAGATTATCATAGGTTAGGTTTTAATGTTAAATCAGCATTTAGTTAAAAGTCAAATACTACACTTCCCAATATTATAAGATTTAACTCTCTCTTTAATAACGTATCTAAAAATATTGACTTGTGTCGTGCACGTATAAAAAACGGAACCTCAAGCAAATACAAACAAAAAAGTTTCTCGTAGAAGCATCAACATCAAACCAACGTTCTTCCCACGAACAAGGGCGAGCCAATTACCGCGCTTCCATAACTATCATTAAGGTAAAATAATAATAAGCTCCAGTTATTATTTCGAATCTTTCGACTGAATAATTTCACTGGCCATTTGGTAACGTGGACTGGTTCGAATGATTCCGTATTTACACTGTGTGTAAACATGCAACTGACCTCCTTTAAATCAACCAATTTTGTTTTAGACGTCTCACAAAAGTTCAGCACCGATATCTTGTGTCTTTAAGAGCTACCAGTTCGAAAATAGATTAATCACCAGACCGTTCAAATCGTTTAGCCTTCAATCAATTTAAAAGTTACGGGATCAAGAGGACGCGGTCAATATCATTGGATTTATACTATGTAGTCGAAATAGCACCTCGTTGGTCAATCACATCGTTCAAAATCGAGGCAATTAGGTTACGAATTGGTCCATTATATAGAACATTGAAGAAAATAGCGTCAGAATTCCAAGCTAGAACGTATTTTACATTAAAGATTTCTGATTTAAAATGTAATGTTACAAGCTCGATGGAATTATAGATAAAACATAGTATCGAACAAAAAACAGGTGCAAGTTTCTAGATTCAAGTTGTGCCTAGGCGTGCAGATAATACAGGCAGGTTGTGGCATGAGAATAATTAATGATGGGCGATGCGGGTGCCCGGGAGCTGGCGCGCGCAGGGCGTGGTGCGCTGGCGCCGGCGACCTGCTCCACTGCTGCTACAATTTCGATCATGATTCACGTACAACCAGTTCACCAACAAAAAGCGGACACACTCGCATTTCCGATGGTGACGAAATCAACCGAACGCCGTGTCTCATACGCATCCCACTTAACGGTTTTCGTGACTTTTAATATGGCGTTTATACGGTAGTCGGTTATTAAATAAGATTCTTCGGTTAATTGGCCACGTTTATGTCCAGTCCGGTGTACGTGCAACTTTTGAAATCGACGTTTTCGATGTTCGCGTGATTCTGTTTTACCGTTTGCTGGTTGTTTTACAGTAAGCAATCAAGTAAAGGCTGTTTAATAAGTGCGTATAACTTCGTATAAGGTTATATTCACATGCAATTACACTAAACACCTTACGGCTCAATTTAACTGCCATTAAAATGTGTATATTTTTAACAATAATTATAATAGCATTTATTGCATTCAAGATGTGTACCTAGTAGTTATCAAGCTGTAAAAGAATGCTTGGTGTGTACATCTTTTATTTTGTTGTAACAAATTATTGAGACAAAGTCAAGAGGGGTAAGCCTTCAATGGGAATTCGTTACTCCTTCCGCACAGCTACCGAATGCGGCGTCCATTTCAAAACACGATCACTCTTATCGAGGTGAGGGGATAGAGGGCGCGTGCGTGTGCGCATCCAATGCATCGCTGTGGGAGCAAGAAGGAGATACAAAAGTAGTAAAAGTGAGCGAGACAAATAGAGAAACAATGTTGCTGCGTTATGGGAGAACGGCAAAACCAGTCCTGTCAGCGGGACGTCAAGACGAGTCGAGTTCTCGGAAACGGTGACCCGTGTCACGGAATCCCTAGCCGCACACACAGCCACACTTTCACACACACGCGGACGCACCCACGTATACGAAACACCGGCTACAATCAAATACCAGTGACAGTATTATTGGTGTTATTCTATTCTATAAACAATTGTACATGTTTTAATTGTATTTGGTTTTGTTTCAAAAAATTCGCTACCAAACATGAGTACGATAACAAAAGTTGGTAATCAAATAAATATTTTTACAGCATAAGGTCGCATTCCTTAGATAGCATGTACGAAAAAGTTATCAGTGATAATGAATATATTGTTGCGTTCACTTTGTTATACGAATGAAACTGTTAAGGCAATCTTTGATGATAAGATTTTAACACTGCTATCTTAAAAAGTGGAATTCCAAAAACCTCAGAAGCACTATCACGCAAAATTTAACTATGTATTTTCAAAACGTAGAGAATCAAAACAAGACATCTTTTGAAATAGTGTTATTTAAGCTATTTAAGCACAACGCCATCTATAGCCGTGTTTAAGAATTTTACTACCGGTCTTGCGCGGCGAGTTTGAACAGAAGCGAACTTGTCCAAAATCAAATAATTTTAGCGCTAAATATCATTAAGAGTATTAACATGTACTTTTATAAAGACTAAAGGAAAATCGTAAATATTGTGATTGTGACTTTAAACCCATAAATATCCAAGCGGTCACCGGTGACCGCTTTCCACTAATATTACATTACATTATAGACCTTATTTCTAATGTTTAGAGAATACTTTTGTATGACCAAATTTAGGGGATGGATATCAACGGGTTAAATGAATATCCAGTGGAACTCATCATTTGTGGTGTAATGAGATCATAATTAGCCATATACGCACTAGCAGATTCTGTGCACCGAACAACTAAACAAAACTACTACGTGCAAAAAAAATTGCACTCTTTTTTGAAATCACGTCCGACGCACAATTATATAATTTGTTCTACTTTACTTCATTCTCTGTACAAGTTTTTTACATATAATATTATACAGTTCGCAACAGAATTGAGTTCACACATGTATCGCGTAATCGATGCGAATAAATCCGCGAGCTATGCTGTGCGATATGCCAGTGCATCACAGTCTCATTGGAAAATAGCGCGGGAGAAGGCCAATGTACCGCCGTTCAGCAGCCACAAATAGAAACACGAAGGTTGCTGCCCGCTTTGGACTATTTAGTTACATGCCCCTGCAGATTTTAACTCCTTTGCAGGTATAAAAAATCCTTCAATTCCATAGGTATATTTAAAAACAGAAGTGATTTGAAAACGATATATCAACCAAATCTCGTTAACGTCTCCCAACACGCCAAAGAATCAATGGGCTCACCGTAAATCTAAATGATTAGACTATTAGTCATGTGTTATCCAATTATCATTTCGAAAGTCCAATGACCAAATCCTGGATTACGACAAACTTGGAGCACGTCTGGTGGGAGGCGGTGCCATGCTGTCTCACACATATCGACCGACCGACAGACGAACACGCACACCTACTAATGCTCTATAAATACCGCCAGGGAAATATTTTAATCCGGATGGCCCGTTTAATGCACATTCCTTGGGCTACGGAACAATCTCGATTTTTTTACTCCTTTACTCCAAGAGGGCATTGCCCCACTTAGATTTTAGTTCGTAAGATATTCTGTCATGTGAAACTGTGTCAGTAGACATGGCTAAGGATAATAAGCTATTAAAGTATAAGGTGAATAACCTGTTCCTTACAAAGTTAATAAGTAAATTCCGACGACGTGATGTCAGATATCCTATGTATTTAAATAAGTCTTCATTTGCGTCGTTGAAATATACTCACGGACAGGAAGATTACAAACCTTCTGACCGAAAAAGGAATCGTGTTAGGGGTCAACGTGATTTCCTCTCGCATTCCGTTCAGCTGACACATTCGTACAACGTTATAATCGAATTAAACACAACTTGCAATGGATTCGTCGAAGCATGCCGACCGGATGATCCAATGCGTGAATATAAAATTTGTATCTGAACCGAACCATGCATTAAAGTAACCACACATATAAACATTGTTCACGTCTTGCGTCACGACCAATCACCGAATTTATCCACCAAATTGCCACGGCAATCGTTCGAAAGTGGTAATTATGTATTGATTGTAAACGCAGCAGGCTAATGTGACGATATGACGTCACGCGTTATTCGATCATTGACAAACGACATTCCAACGCCTAGTGTGAACTGTGTTGTTGAAACGCACGTCACGTCATTCCCACCAAGGTCTCATGCTCGTCTTGAGACTTGAGAACATACACACATTAAGTGCCTCGATCTGAATAATAAAGATCTTCTGACACCAACTGCTCTTACATCTTAAAAATCCTTCACTAAATTATTTGCACGTTTTATTTAGAAGGGTCTCTTTATATCAATGGGCTAGAATACCAGTGCGAAATAATTTGATCAGTCAAAATAAACAACTTTATTTATACAATTCAATGTAGCATGCTGTCTGTAGAAGTGACGGACGGACGGACAGCGGATTGCATAAACACTGAATATATAGGGTTTCCGTTTGAATCACGCCGCATACCAGCCGCCTTCGTCACGGCGGCAGGCGGCGCGTGCGACACAATATCATGAGTATCACGACTCCGCTCACAAACATTCGACAATACGATACTAGTCTAAATAATGTCTATACAGAATGACGAATTGTCGGCCGCCCCGCTTATAATATCGCCGAGACTGAGGAATTTCTAATTGATATTGCATTGTGGTCACTCCCATTCTGCTGCCTGTTTGAGTAATAAGTACCTACAATATCGGATGAAGGAGATTAAATGCTATAAATCTCAACACAAGTCGGACACGACGCTGTAAAAATCGTCGTAGTAAATCAGCTAGTACTCTAATTCGCAGGAACAAAAATTTTATGATCGTCGTAATTTATTATTGTATTTTTTGTTTTTTAACGATGCATGCTAATTAATTAAGCGAGTCTTATAAAAACCATACTCATTCATTGGATTGACGACCGGTTCTGAGATCGACATAGGTACATAACAAACCTACATAAACTAGAAGGGTAAGTCTAATATTGGGAAAACGCACACAAACAGATTTTAACGATATCTGTAGCATTGAAATCTTCTCATTATGCAAATATGCAATAG